AAATATTATTTATTTATGAAATGAATTGCAGATTTTAAATACATAGATTAATAAATGATCTTTATACTCGCAAACTATCCGCAGATTTTTTATAATGAATAAATACCTTAGATCATTAAATTTATTTATTTTTCGTTTTCTTCTACTGTAATTTCGTTATTTATGACTATTTTCTCAGTCGTTTCTTGCATTTTAAATATTGGAAAAGAATCTTTATTATCGTGAATTACAATTTTATTATTCAAAAAGTTAATAGTAGTATATTTGTTGTTTTTACTATCACTATATTTTTTATTTATTTTTAAACTACGATCTTTTTTTATTTTATTAAAAGCCAGTTTCTATAATTTTTAAACTAAGATTTAAGTATCCGGTTATTGAATCTGATTTAGGCTCAATTTCTGAATGATGAACCTAAATCAAGGTAAGTTGAACTGGGAGCTGGACATTTTGAAATTTCATAGAGTAAGGCTTTAAGGCTTTCACTTCGCTCCCCTCAGCTCTAGCCAAAAACTGAGTAAAGCTGCTCGCATGTATTATCTAATTCATTTACAACAAATTAGTTATTTAACTAGCTCATTCATTTCGAACTCTAACTTATATCACGTAGCTATCTAATTTTATAAATATCTTAGTGAAAAAAATAGAACAAGCAAATATTAACAGCAAATATAGTTAGAATTTATTAATATTATTTAATATTATAGGTAAACATATTTAACAAAAAGATATATAACTTTAACGGCTATGACTACTATTTATTATAATGTATAAAAAATATACAATATATTAATTTAAACTTATTCTATTAAGCCTGGTCAGTAAGTTCATCAAAATCTTCCCAAAAATAATCCGATTCTTCATTATCAGATAAATTATTTGTTTCATAATTATCAATTTCTTGTTCAATATCTGATCCGTTGTTAATATTGCCTTCTTTCTTATTATTATCTTTATAAATAACTCGGAGATTCCAATAAATATATACTAATTCTTCAAGACGCTCATTTGTTAACCGATTTCGTTTCTTAGTATGTATATGAGAAAAGGCAGACCAGTTACGCTCAGAACTTGCAGAAGATATTGGCATAGCAAAAACTCGTGTACAAAATAATTGAAGAAGTTGAAATCCAAATCCATATGCTATACAATATTAGTTTTTTAAACTTAAACAAAAAAAATTAATTTTTAAATAATGATAATACTTACCACTCCACCAATCACGAGGATGCAATTCTTTAGCTACTTCTTGTAATGAAATATTGTTATTAAGAAGAGTAACTAGTTCTCCATATTCTTTATATAATTCTGCATGAATTTCATTTTCAGATTTAGAAATAAAATTACTAATATATGGTATAACTTCATAGAATAATTGGGTTAATTCATGAACCGTAGGTTGAAAATTATTGTATGGATAAAAACGGCTATCAAGAAGATATGCTAACTGCATGATTGAATTCTTCATATAGTCAAATCTTCTCACAATAATAGCTATTACAGAATCTTGAATAGGACTTATAATAGTGCGTTGTAAATTTTCCATATCGACCATTTCTTTATAAACAAGAGATAAAGTAGCTGAATCACTCTCAAATTTAGTAATACCTATATATATATTATATATAAAGTTAAATATTTTTTTATTAAAAAAAAACATATATATAATATATATATATACATTTTACAATTGGATGTAAAACTTCTGCTAAAGTTGAAATATTGTCCCAATTATCTTCGTCTGCAATCAAAACTCTTATTTGACGATCTTGTAAAGTTTGAATAGGTAACTTATTATTTCCTAATACACTCTAAATAATTTAAATAGTTAATACGAGTTACTATATCTATGATAGCTTTCTTATATTAAGATTTAGTTGTAATTAATAATTTAAATATATAATATATTAAGTAAATTTAAATACCTGAATACTTCTTTTTGATTCTAATAATTTTTCGAGTACTGCTAATTGTGTTCCCCATCTAGTTTTTACAGAATTTACTAATCTAATAGTTTTATTAATTTCTTGTTTTTGTGTTTCATGAAGATATGCTTTTACTATCTGACGAGAATTAAAATAATTAGTAATTTTATTTGCTATTTCTAATACATTATGCGCCCACTGTAATTGCAAATTATTTTCATCAAAAACTGATTGTGATTTTTTAAAAATATCAGAAATAATTAAGTTTGTTGAATGTGCTGCACATCCATAAAAAAGAATAGAAGGAAATTCTATACGAAGAATATTCCAAGCTGCACGCATATTCATAGCATTATCAGTTACAACTGAATTTATAAAATTTTCTCCAAATTCCAAAATAACTTCTTGAATTCCTTTAGCTATATATGCAGCTGTATGAGAATTAGTTGTTGTTGCTGTTGATTTATGAAAAATTGGCCCATATGTTGTCAAGGTCATATAATTAATAATAGATTCGTTATGCTGATTTGACTATCCATCTGTTGAAATTGAAATAAACTTTTCATTTAAATAAATTTTTTGAATTTGTTCTTGAACTGTATCATATTCTTCTTTTAATAAATTATTACTAATCATCCAGTAAGATGGTGGATCATAAGTAGGATGAAGTGATTTTAAAGCTTGAATAAAAAATTTATTTTCAATTAATATATGTGGAATACTATTTGCATAAAATGCACGTGCAATTTTTTTATCAATTGTTTTTTTTTCAGTAGAACTTAATGGCTGTAATAAATAAGAATCAATAGGATAATTTTGTTTTTCTTGAGTAATAGAATTTAGGATTGTAAATTCATTTTGGTTTTTTTGAGCTAAAAAATTTTGATATTTTTGACAAGATTTTAAATGTGCTCGAAGACGTTGTGCTTGACCAGATAATTTATGTTCACAATATCTACATTCTGCACCTGGATGTCCTTTAGAAGTTTTGGAAGGATGTTTTATAAATTCATTCCAAGCAGGATCAGACATTTTAAAAAAATTTTCTTAAAAAAAAAAAGATTTTTAAAAAAATATATAAATAAAATCAATATTTATATTTTAATAAAATTAAACTTTTTTAATAATAAATTTGTTTAAAAATACATATTATTTCAAACTATCTAGTATGCAAATTTGAATACTAAAATATAGTAGCATATGAAACTAATTGTTTAAGAGATAACGATAAAGAAACTCTAAAATAGTATATTCAATGAATTTATCTGATTTAGTTAGTAATTTAGATAATCTAAATAATAATTACTAGCTAACCTTTTTTTGCAATTAAAGAGATAAAATTAATACTTATATATTCAATTTTTATATTGTTAAAGATCTTAGAGCTATTAGTACCAAATTAACGCTCATAATCTAGTTTTTTAATTTTTAAAAATAATTAATAAATACTATATTTACTTAAATATATAATTTTTTTTGCTTTGATTATCGTTATCATTTTTTAACTATTAATTAACTCTAATTGGTAATTAATTAAATTTATTTATAAAAATATAAAAATACTATTACTATTATAGCGCTTTGCAAAAAAATATGATCTCATGATTTTCTTTGTGATAATGTGGAAAAATTTTAAATAAAGAATTGAATAAGAGAATTTCTAATAAGGTTACTGATTTTAAGTATGATTGCAAATTATTATGTATTCTCTATTAAATTCTCTTATTAAATTCTCTATTTAAAATTTTCTTACATGATTACAAAAATTATGGAGGTCACATCTTTTGCAAATAGCGATAATTAATTCAATATAGCAATTAATTTAATTTAGCTTTGGCTTAGTGATAAAAATTTTTTTTATTTGTTTTATTGTAATAGCAATAGTAATTATAAATTCTTTTTAAATTCGAAGCTTTATAAATTATTATTTTGTATTTTTTGTATAACGAACTTATTTTATTTATGTTGTAAAAGAGATCAGATATTATAGTATTGTAGTACACTTATATTTTTTGACAATATCTCAAAGTACAATAATCAAAATCGAAAAATTTTAATAATATTTAATTTAATTTATCAAGATAAATTAAATAGTATAAAAATCAGAATTTTTGATTACAAGATATTAGCAATAATAATAAAAATATATATAAATCAATTAAATTTTAGATTAGACCTTTTAAAATAAAGTTAATAAAGTTTTATTTTATATTTATATATAAATTACTAATTATGTAGTTTATATAGTATATAAATCTTACTTTAATTGCAGTATTCTAAAATAAAATAATGATAATAATAACAGTAAAAAAATTACTTCCAAAAATATTACAATAAACAAGTTTTTTTTATTAAAAATACTCTTTTTTTTTCTATAACTAGATAACTAAGTATAAAATTAGTTGAATAATAATTATTTTTAAAATTTTTTTATTAGTAATAAAGCTTAGATATATCAAAATTTCTGATCTTCTCTTATTAAGATTTCTTATATGCATAACTATAAATTTTAATTGCTTATTTATTTTAGTTAGCAACTTTACAATTTACTAATAATTTGCTATTTTTTTTTATTTATACTATAATAAAAGAGTATTATATATTATTATTACATTATGTATATATTAAATTTCTAAAGTTAGACTAATTTTATACTATAGTTTTGAACTAGTTCAAAATTAGACTTTAACAAACTAAGAAAAAATTAAAAATATATTTTATATTTCTAAATTTTTAAATTTGATTTTTAAATATTCAAGTTATTTAAGTATTTTAAAGATTTTAAAAATAGCTTATTTCAACTTATTTGTTTATTACTTGAGAATTTATTGAATCTAATTCAGATTAATTTGATTTTTAATATTTCTATTTTATAAAAATCAATTTTGTAATAGTTTAATTAATTAGCCAATCAAAAATTTTTTAAACTTATATTATAATTATTATCTTTTATAAGACTAACGGTATCTAACAGTAGTCTACTGGTATCTACTACTGGTAGTATCTACCGGTAGCTACCATATTCACATCACTAGGCATATGTATTCTGAAAAGATCTAAGTTATGTAGTAAATAGATCTATAAGCAAGTCAGCTGGTTTAAGCAGTTAGATATAGTAGTGATGTTAGTTTGAAATAGGAAAAAAGGTTAATAATCAGAGTATTTAAATAGGTAATCTACAGATAGGTTGCAGTTATGACAGTATAGTTAGAACCAACAGATAGTCGATCATCTGTATAGTGAACTACTTAAATTAGATAATGACTAAAGTTATATATATAGCTTGTTGTATACTCATCATATAACTATAAAACTTTAGGAGTCTACTTTAGAATAGTTCTGTAATAACAAATTAATAAAATCTAATTAGCAAAGGAAGCTACCTTAATAAAAAAAAAAAAAAAAAAAAACAAGTATTGTATACATATAGTGTAGATAGTAGGTATAAGATATAATAATTATAGAGATACTTGTAGAAAATAATTTTTAATTCAATTATATGATCTAGTTTGTTGCTATATCTAAAATTCTTGTCTAGCAATAGTATTAGATTTAGAGAAATTATAATTGCTTTGGTTATAAAAAAATTATAAAGGAGTTTAAATTTTTCTAATAAACTTAGTTGATGTAGTAGAGTGTTTTAGACTTCTTTATCAATTTTAGTAGATTTGTATTATTCGATATAATAGTTATATGTATATTTAAAAAGAAAGTTGATGCAAAAAAAGAAAAATAGTTAATGAAGCTTGTAATTTTTTTATTTTTTTTTTTATTTTGAATGATCTTACCTATCATTTATTCAGAGAAATATCAAAATAATATATAGATACAAATTATAAAAAGTTCTAAAACTAAACTATAACTATA